GCCCCAAACTTTTCAATCTAGTTTTGTGTAAGTAGACAGACCCAGCCATTTGAAATAAAAATTTGGACTGCAGCAATATATTTCAGAAGCTTTTAAAGAGGAGTATGCTTTTCAGAATATGCTGAGATATAAATCAGCTAGAACATACTTCTAGGAAAAGGAGATCTTGTCTAAGAAAATCTTGACTTGTCAAGAATGCATTTTTCTGTCAGATGTATTATACCGCAGTGATGAATGTGAAATGGAAATACATAATGGTATGAGAAACCCTGCATGCTGCAAATGCATCTAGAATAGACCTCATGATTTATTTGCATTAATGCATGTTAAAATGCTAAAAAAAGATCTAACGTTAAATCTTAAATGCAGTCCAATCAAAATCAGAACACTATAAACTAGGGTACTCTCAAACCAATTTAATTAATTGTCATAGACACAGAAAGACCTACTAGGAATAATACAAGCTGAAAAGTCTCAGCTAGCCCTCAGGCTGAAGTATGGTTAATTTGCTGAAAGGTGGATTGTGGAATATATTTTCCTTGCTTTGACAATACATCTTCATGTAGCCCAGCTGAGGATTTTAAAAAACAATTGAGGCTTTTGGACAGGTCTGTATTTTATTCACTGACTTGATATGCAAGAGAATTACGGGGGGGGGGGGGAATCTCAGACATTATCCTATTTTGCAATGTTAATTTAGAAGATTAAAGCTGGGCGTGGGTAGGTAAGAATGGAGAAGACAGTATACTAGAATGTGAGTACTGAGTCTCCTTGTGACATCTCAATATTATTCCTCTAACTTAAACCCTTTTTGGCCTATCAAGTCCTGTAGATGTTCTTGGTACTCCCAAAGATTATAATTTAGATTATGTCAGACTCCTCATCCTAAACTAGGTTGGCATGCTGGTGATACTCATAGCTGTGAACAATGGAAAATGGAGTGGACGTTCATGGTGGAAGATAAGCTAACGTGATAAATTATGGGATTGATTATAGAAGTGATGATAAAGGGCTTTGATCTAGTTTTTTGCAGAACCAAGTTATAAAGAATAGTGGAAACACTAGGAAATCAACTCCACAGGAAGACTAAAACTATTTTATTGAGATTGGCTAAAATAACAGAATCTTCCAAGTCTGATTGTGCTGCACCTCCTCCTTTTTCTAGTTCAGTGAATTAGGGAGGTGTCTGCCTGAGCTGCTTCCAAACTGTTATTTTATAGTTCTGAACTTTAAAAAATGTACCAATAGAAGAGAATATATGTAGCTCAGGGTTGAACTGTGGAGTCCTTAAAAATATTTTTTTAAATGTTTCAGCCTCTTTTGCCCAGGTTCCTGCATATCTCCATCAAATTACTCTCCATTTCTTACTCTCTACAAGTAGCCAGACTGCAGTGCAATTCTGTTATCTCTGTTACTGTAGTTCCTCCTAGATAGAGCACAGACACAATGTAAAGAGTGGAACTCATTGGGAAAATAATGATAAATCTGTATTTGATTAAGAAGAAAAACTGGCAGTTTGCATGCCATGTGATTGTAAGCAAATTCTGCCATTATTATCTTCTTAACTCTGTTTCTTTGGTAAGACTATTTCAGTGCCTGCTATGCATCTGTGAGGTACATAAAGTGTGATTTGGTCCACATGCATTACCAAACCATGTTTGGCATCACAGGTACAAGACCCATGTTCTTCCATGATATGGACAGGAGATCCCTGGAGATGATCGTGGCTGAGCCTCTTAATCTATGTTCAACGTAGGATAACTAAAGGAATAATAGAGTATGCTTTTGAGTAAGAAGAGTGTGCTTTTCCAGTAGGGCTGGCTCTACTGTTAGGCAGAATGAGGCACTTGCCTCAGGTCACAGATGCTGAGGATGTTCCTCTGCTTCCAAGAGGAAGGACACAATTTCCATGTTACAGAAATTATTTTGGGTTGCCTAAATTAGTTTCAGTAAAATGGATTCAATATAACAATGTAAGAAGATTTACAACATCAGTGCTGTAAGAAAGATTTAACTGTCAGTCTAATTGGCATTTATATATAGAATGGTGAACTGGCATTCTCTTGGTCTTTCCCTCAAGCAACAACATGCCTTGGGCTGGCCCTGGCCTTTAGCTGACCTGCATATGACACACAAGTATCTCCTCAAACTCTAGATTAATTAAGCAATTCATCTCTCCTTCTCCCTCTCCCTCTCTCATATTTTAGATTGCCTTGACATCATGAAGCAAACAGGTCCTACTGGATGTTGTGAGGTTCAGTAGAGTAAAAGAGCCGATGGAGAACCTACAGTTGCAGTGTTGTCTTAGCCATTCCGAAATGGACTGAATTATGTCAGCTGTTAGCTGCAGACGCAAGGACAGTGCCCGTGCCTGTAGAAGCGTGCCCAAACCAAATGCCTGAACCTGCCTAAGGGCCTGAGAGAATCTGTGACTTCAGTTGTCACTGGGCTAGTGTCAGTCGTATCTAAAGATGTCCTTAGGGTGGCCTGGAGAAAGGCACTGCACAAACAATATGGGGGATTTGGGTTCATTTGCAGAAGAAGAAGGGATATAGCAGGTAAATGTGAAGTACAGGAATAAGTTCAAAGAGCGATTATGAAAGGCAGCTGACGGTTTCATCAGAAGCTAAGATTACAAAACAGCGAATACAAACGATTGTGCTTATCCCCAAATGTAAAATCATTGCTAAGTGTTTTTGCTAGGAAGGTAAATAAGTGAGGGATCATAACTTGTCAGAGGCATTACTCTGCTAGGCTCCAAACAGAGCAGGGATTTTGCCAATTTAAACTATTTTCAGACTTCTATCAAGAAGGTTTTAGCCTGGCAGTTCTGAGAGTTTCAGCACATGAATATATTTGTTGGATGAAGATTTGCTGACTGATGCAACCTCATCAAGAGGTTGATTCCTCTTTTTCTTTTTCTTTTTTTGGCTTTATTAAAACAAACCGTATTTCTAGCAGCGTCATAATGGTACATAACATTTCAATGTTTTATGAGTGGATTTGAATGAGCAATTAACTGTATAAACACCAGACCAGATATAAAATGAAAATCAAAAAATGGCGGGGTGATCCTGGAAATATGTATCCCAGACAAAACAAGTCACAAAAGTTTGCCCAGATAGTTTAAGAAGTCTTCTTCTTAACAATCTGTTGCTGAAAAGCAAATGTAGATTTATCTTCCAAATGACTTTATTTCTGCTGATGGTGGGGAGTGGGGGCGGGTTGCTGGTAGGTTCACAGATATTTGCTTTCTAGGTATCTACTTGCTAGCTATTTATATGTACAAGTAATTTTATGTAAATTAGCACGAGTAGTCTGTTTACATCTTTAAAGCCAAATACATATGCAAATTAATGAATAAAACTGAAAACTCAAAATTAGGATATAACCTTGGTGCCTCTGAACCAATAGCTTTTATAAGCAATGCCTAATTAGTGAATATTTTGCAGAGTATTTTTATGTATTTTTAGACTAGCTGATGAAAACAGGAAATGCCTCCCCCCCAAAGGTTCTTTTATATTTCCATTCTGTCTCACTACCACCCACTCCCATGAACAACCCAAAATATAGGAGACTGAAAAAAAAAAAAAAGCAAAACAACAGTCTTTTCTTTTCTTTTTTTTGCCAGCTAGTCATGTATAAGACTCAAGGCTGTACAACAAAAAGACCAGCACAAAAAAGAAAAAAACCAAAAAGCCAAATTCTACCAGTTAGGAGAATCCCTACATCTTCTTGATCACAAGACCTTCCTGGACTCATCTTCCATTATCTGTTCCTCTCCAGTGCCTTACTGTGGGAAGTCCCTGTTAAACATTGCAGGGCCTGGACTGAATGGAAGACAAGAATGAGCCTGTTTCACGTCTTGCCCCATTCGTGTGCAGACCTAAGTGGCACCATGCCAGTGGCCAACCCACAACCAGGGTATCTTAGGTATATAAGATTCTGCTCTGTGAAATAGCTTTGTGCATTCTTCATTTCTTCTATTGTCACCCCTTTGTCAATGTTCATGGAGTATGAATGCATTTGGATTGATGTCTGTATGGACATTCACCTAGAAATCTTATACCCATACTTTGTCACTGGAAATAAAAGAGGAAGAGGAAATATGCTCCTGCATGGATAATCTTGGGTGGGCAGGTTGAAACTATCATTAGTGACTGGATTTCTGAGTGAATGGGGTATTGTGAATATAGTGAAACCTTATTTTAATGGATTAATTGTGGGGACGGGTCTACGTTAGTCCCAAATGTCCATTAAATATGAGAGGACATCATCTTGGCGATTTGTATCATTTGCGTAATGGTGTCATTACGCACATGATGTAATTGAGGGCGTTATGCAAATGAGCTTAAGTGGCACAGAGAATAGTTCATTGCATCAAGATCTACAAAATCAAGGTTTCACTGCCTTGCCAAAGACACATTGCATAGCCAGTGTCTTCTGGTTTAAAGTAAATGGCAGTGTGTATAGATCTGTGCCTAAGAACAGATAACTTTTCAAGCTCACATATGTAGTTTCTGATTTGTGGCACATTCATATAAAAAGCGGACCTACCACAAGTACAGACCCATCATGCCATTTTCATTTGGGCTGAGCACTGCTATGCAGAGTGCAGAAAAGGACTAATAAATAGCAAGCCCCCCCAAAAATTACAGGCATAAGATAAGAAAAAGAAGACAAACTTAGCTAACACTGGCTTACAGCAGTACCATTCACTACATCTCTCCATGTCTTTCTAATCTTGCAAAACATCCTTGCTTCCATCCCGTCCACACGCCACTTCATACAATGCCTGCACTTATGACCTTCATAAACAATCTATTCTTAGATACAGATTCCACCTCCCACCCCCCATTTCTATGTCCAAATAAAGAGTATGGCATAGCAGGAGTTACAGCCAGGGGGTCTGTGCGAAGTTTCAAAGGGGTGATTCAGTTCAACAAAGCTTCAGTTGAATCGCTCAGCTGAAGCATAGTCATGAATCGAAGCAGGAACCTGCTTCAAAGCAACAAATCAATTGGAGATACAATGGTTTTTCTGCTGATTCTTACAGACATTATCCAATATTGCAGCTTCAGTTCCAAGGATGGAGAGTGACTGAGATATTAACTTGAGCAACTAGCCAATGAGATTTATTAGATTAAATTCTCTGCCTATCAGAGCTTTTTGGGGGTGGCAAGGCTAATATTACCTTGGGGTTCCTTCTCTTTCTCAACTCTCAACTTTTTAAATCAACCATGAACCCTAATAGTACAGTTGAGAACGTGTACTTCTGATTGTGATCTGAAATCTTCTCTGATAAGGTTGCCCATTCCCCTTGCTGATCTATAGCTCCTGTGCCTTTCTTTAAAAAAAAATACTTCTTGTTTGGATGATTGTAGAAAAAAGCATGCACCCTTTTAAAGCTTCAAATGATTAAAAACAAATTATGCCCACCCTAACCCAATCAGCAATTTTTCCTGTAAAAAGGGAATGGAGAACTGAAGGAGGGAGGGAAGGCTAGAAGTAAGGCTAGTCTCTGATTTTCAGAGATTTGAGCAGTGAAGACAACAGGAAACGCCAAATCGCTGGATGACTTCTGCATAGTGTGGCAATAGAAATTATACCCAGCTCAGTGGCTAAGTGTAGAGACTGCAGTGAACTAAGACCAAGAAAAGAAATGTAAGTGCTTTTATTCTGAAATAATTTCAAGATGTTGTTTGCATATTCATTAAAACAATGAGCTTCCATCACTTTGCTTTAAAATGCCTCCCCCCCCCTTTCCTTTTTTTCCCCCTAATGAAGATGGGTTTAGTTTGAGATGACATTACCAAGCCCTATAATCATGACTGGTGAATAGCAAAGTGGGTAGATAGAGAATCTGTAAATGGGGTAAATGCCATGAGTTTTCTTTGCCCAGGGCTGGTCTTTTGAATGTCTCGGCATCTCTTTAATAATAAATCTCTAATTTTGGAAAGATGAATGGTGAAAAATGAACAGGGTCTGGTAAAATTTCAGCAAACAGAGTGGGGCTGAGCTAAAGAAGCTTAATATTTTCTTTTGGAGAAAGTGTTTTGGTAGGAGAGCATAGAAGCAAAGCATTTATTCTTCCTTTTATATGAACCCCAATACGAAGGAAGGAAGGAAGGAAGGAAGGAAGGAAGGAAGGAAGGAAGGAAGGAAGGAAGGAAGGAAGGAAGGAGGGAGGGAGGGAAGGAAGGAGGGAAGGAGGGAAGGAGGGAAGGATTTCTTAGATTCATTTAGTTTGGCCCTTCATAATCAAAATAGCTTTCTTTTCCTGGCTGTGGTTATTACTGCTTCTTCATCCTTCAGCTCACCTGTGCCAAAGTATCCTGAAATACAGACTAGTCCTGGGGATTGTTGTTTCCATTTAGAGGCTCATATTCAAGTATCTTCCAACTAAACTGATATAACAGATATTCCACCAATGTTGTCTGCAGGGTGTGTGTGTGTGTATAGTCAAGATGGCAGGCACGACAGTGTGATTAAAGTTCCACCTGTTTTTTATGTGTCCTGCAATGTACTTAAAAATGGGTGGAGCTTCAATCATCACGGCTGCCATCTTGACTTTTGGACCATACCCTGTGGCCATACTTCTGTGCTCCAGGTAGTCTAGCTGAGGGTCAGGGAGCCAAAATCACTTCCCTCTTAATTTTCCTGTTCTTTCAGTTTGAACTGCAGTTAAACTTTCTATGTGCCCATGCGGTTATTTAAGCTCTTGACATTTGTGTTTGATTGTATAATACTAGTGGTGCTATAGATCTGTTCCCTTGGAATACAGAAAGTACACTTTCCATGGAGTGCAGCTGGGGATGGGAATTAAATCTGTTTTGTGTATAATAATGGAAGGGGTGAGCTATTTAATCTCGCCACTGAACTGCCTTTACTGGTATCCATCACCTTCCTTCCTTATAGGGTTGTGGCAAAGTGATAACCCTGCCCAGAGTTCCCCCATTGGGGGGAGATGGGCAGGGGAGAAATTTAATAAATAATAAAATAAAATAAAATAAAATAACTGATATGGCCTTCTGCAGCAGCAGGGTTTGGATGATATGTGAGTCTTGGTGATTTTGATTCAGCTAGGGAAACTCCAAACCGCCTTTTCTAAGCAATTCCTGGTTAACATCCTAGTAACAGTATGTAGTGATTTACATTTATTTCATTCAGGTATGTCTCTCCCTCTTTCCCTCAGTGCCTTTGTATTCCTTCCAATTGATGACCAGTTCCATCCATGATGACACTCTCCCTGTACATTATTGCTTCAAACAGTTTTATATCTAGACATGTTAAGCTCACCACATGAGGAGATGTGCTGAACTTGAATTGATGCTTCTGAAGTAAAATAAGCTATCCATTTACTTAAGACATGTTTTATACAGTATTTACTAAGATACAGTATATTTTATATATGGTTTATAGAAATCTGAAAACATTATCAGTCACATTTTGATCCATAGTGACTTAAGACTAACAACCTGTCAGTGAAAGAGTACCCATTTTAAGAAGCTACAATTCTATTGCAAATGACATTTATGGGACTGTCCTTATTTTGACTTTAAAACCATAAATAGTTTAGCACAAGATTATTGAGGAACTGATCATCCCCATATAGATCTAGTTTTGTTTTGAAATAATTTTTGGAGAGCCTAATGTCTTAAGTCATGGAGAAAATCTACCTGTGTGGTTGCTAGGAGTTGAAAATGACTTGATGGCACATAATCAATCAATCAATCAATCAATCAATCAATCAATCAATCTCTTAAGAGTTTTAAGTCTGGCAGAAATTAATAGGGACTTCTCAGTGGTGGCCACTGGGTGGCACAAATGGTGTTAATATTAATTTTTTCCAGAGAAGTAATAAGGACTATGGGATTGAGATTAATAGCTGCAACACCACAATACACATTTGCCATTCACCTTCAATGAACGATCAGCAAACTTGTGAATGATAATATATGTAACAGGGATTCAAATTTGTATATTCAATATGATATTATATTCATATTTCATATGAGGAAGAATCACGACCAATTAAAATTCTCCTTCAGGTAGCTGTGTGTGATACTTTCTCTGGCTCAGAAGATACATTCTGCACTCGATTGGCTCAGTGAATATTTAACTGACTTTCATATAATGATATTAATTCCTTTATCCAAGTCTTGGACATGACTATGCAAAAGTTCCCCTAAAGTCTGATTTAAATTAGGGAATGTTCAGTCTCTGTCTTTAAGTGCAGACGAAATTATGACAAATGTTCAGTGTATAGGAGTCCACAGCAATCCAAAATGACATCAAGATGATGACCCATTTATTTATTTATTTATATTTCAAATTTGTCACCGCCCATCTCACTGTGGGGTGACTCTGGACGTCACCATGGCAGCGTCATTGTAAATGATGCAATTAGGTACTCACTTTATGGCATCTGATGTAAAACTTAAATGGCCCTGTTTGTGTTCATGTTGTCATTTGTCTCGCACCCTCCCTTTGTCTCCTATAGATGGCTGTGAAGACATGTGCATGCACAGGGAGATGGGACATCCGTATGAGGAACCTAACATGGGTAAACTGAGAATCTTTAACTCTTTGCTCACAGCCTGGCATTATTGTTGTTTTACAATCAAAATGGTAAGTGTGTTGGGTTGAATCCAAACAGTTAACCCCCCAGCTTCCATACTGTATCAGCTTCCTTTTCCTGCAAGTTAAATATGTGCCCCCCCCCCAACATAAGAAGCACAAACAAAAATTAGCCCTTTTAATGTAGAAATAAGGTTTGGCACAGCAGTCCTGGAACAGATGAAATCTTGGGGAAAGCCTACAGTTGCTGTGCACAGTTATTCAAACTTTGCTGGCCTAGAGTGAGATAGATTATGGGATGGCATTAAGTAGGAACTCATAAGTTCATCAACCAACTCATTTATGGCCTTGACAATATGGTACTCGAACTTTTTTTTTTTAATCCTGTAGATCCTTTTTCTTTTGGAAATCATTCTCTTCAGTCATTCAAGATTAGACATATAATATAATTACTGTGTGTTTGCTTAAAGCAGCCTTTGCCAAACTGGTGCCCTCAAATTGTTTAGACTAAAGTAGAGTGTCTATAGGGGAGTGAAGGTGGTGGCCAAAACGATATGATTGAACTGAATGATTGAAGTCCCACCCCTTTTTAAAGTGTAACACATGCAAAGAAGGGGTGGGGCTTTGATCATGTGGTCATGGCTGCTATCTTGACTTTTTTGAGCCTGTCTTGGATGCCCCTGGACTATAGGATCCAAAAACCATTCTGGATGGGAATTTAAGGCCTGTATACATCTCAAGGACATAGGGTGGGAAGACTGCTGTAAAACACGACTATGTAGCTTTGGTTTTCTGCTGAGAGTCATTTAATATTGACTGGGGTTGGGATGTGGCAATAAACTTAATTGCTGATCAGTTGCATTTCATCACATAGTCTGTGATTACGATTACAGTTCAAACTACCTCCTGTCTGTTGTAAACTTGGTGGGGAGGGGCTGCAATGATGCTGCTAATAAAACACAAGCATCACAAACAGAATAAAAGGAGGAAGAAGCTTTGAGCCACTAGAACATAATAATGTTTAAAGAGAAAGGAAAAACAATAACCCTAAAATGCATTATTTCACAAATCTTGTCCTGGAAATCTTAGTGGTTGAAAGGATAAGATAAATGTAAGCCAAAAAAAAAAAAAAGATATTATAACCTGGAATGTGAAAACCCATGTCTATTTGTTCTCCAAATCTGGTTTTAATATAGGAGTGAAAAAGCCAAGATCAGTATAATCTCCTTGTTTTGCTGATTTTGCTTTTATATTTTAAGACACAGGGAGGAGGGACCCATTTGGATGGCAAAACATGTGTTTATTGTTAAATTTGTTAATTATACACACACCCAACTCTTTCATTTTATTTGTTGAGGCATTTTTGCATGCCAGTTAAAGCTATTTTGCCAGCAATTGATGGCAGTACAGTTTAAAACAAAAAATTTTTTTTTGGTCTCATCCAGAGTGTTAATCCACAAACAAACTTCTCAGGAAGCTAATTAAATGCCATTATCTTTTTTAAAAGAGAGGAAGATATTATAATGTATTGTATAGCTTGCATACAGGAATTTTGTGTGCTTATTTCCACTCCTCCCCATTCTTTCAAAGCTGTCTCCAACAAGCCTTGCTTAATCAATGTTCATCAAAAGCAGCATTTTGTTTCTAACCATGGCTGGCCAGCTGTCTTTAAAAGCCCTCAAGTAACACATGAAAATTGTGATCTTCTTACTTGCTCCAAGAATTTGATAGTGAGATACCCTGGCTTAACACCCTCAATGTGTCGTCCTCCAGATGTTTTTGATTACAACATCCAGCAGCCCCAGCCAGCATGCCCAGAGGTCATATATCAGAATTGTAGCCTAAAAGATCTGGAGGGTAATGGATTATATTTTTGTCATTTTGTTAAGTCTAAGAGAGTGATCACTGCTCCATATGGTAATGGTAAATTCCATATATCAATGATGCATTTTGTGATATTGTTCCCCTTTCAGTTTTGAACCTTTTCCATTTAGCTTTGCTGAAAATACAATTCCCCCCACCCCACAACGTCTTGATACTTTTTTGTTTGGCTAAGAGTTGTTAGTAGCAGATGGATTTTGGAGAACTAACCTGTCCAGCCTAAGATCTGTCAGAAACTGTACAAATGGTTGCTCCTCAGCTACTTGCTGTGCTAGTCTATTTGTGTTCTTGTATACATCTCCTCCTAAAAAGTTTGTAGTCTGCCATTCTATGAAGTATTTTATGAGCTACAGATCCATGTCTTGATAAGCTGCTTTTGTATTATTTAGTGAAACCGTCTGCTGCATGTGCTAGTAAAGAACATTTGGATTCATTTCTCATGCATACTTCCCCCCCCCCCCTTTAGATGATGTTGATCTGTAGCAATGCAGGTCAAGGGTAATATCAACCTCTAGCAATGCAAAAAGGCAAAAGGACAATATCTATTTTTACTCTATTAAGAAGATTCATGGCTGGATCGCTTTATTGGCAATTTTAATCACTTATGCACCATGACTCTTGTATGACACGTGTTTGTCTTTTTATGGCAAACATTACTGGTCTGAAAAGATGATTTCACCCAGCAATAATCCTGAAGGCAAGTCTTCTCCAAACACCAGCCATGCTAGCTGGGAATAATGGAGTTAGTCAGTTGGAGGAAGATTATGGTTAGATGAATTTGGTATGATCATGTTGTTTGGATGAACCTAGCATAAGTGCTGTGTTTAGCAGCTTAGACAGGTACCAGGCATCCCCCCCAATATATTTTTTTTAAATTACACAGAATTTTGCAAAATCATCAAAGCTTACAAGATTTAAGTACTCCCAGTCTTAATATAAAGTATGTCCTCATCTGTAAGCTTGTGAGAGCTCAAGGATCTTGAAACCTCATGAAATTTGGTTGTACAGTGGTACCTCGGTTCACGAACTTAATTCGTTCCGCGACTCTGGTCGCGACCCGAATTGGTTGCGACCCGAATCAAATTTTCCCATAAGGTTCAATGTAATTATGGTTAATCCATTCTG